GGTCAACAACGCTTGGGCCCACAGGGGCTTGGCCTCCTGACCGGGTCTGCACTGTCTGCATCTGAATCCTCCTCATTTATTGATTGTTTAAGGGACGCTGCCTGTCTTAGGTGGTCAGTTGAATTCCTCAGTCTTACCAGTCATTGAGACTCATTGCAGCATGGCAATGGCTCTGTCTTAAGTAGCCGAGGTTCCACCTGATCTCTTTCCTTTTTTTTAATGACTTTATTTTCTCAAACATAATGTTCTTGATGTCATCCTACAGCTCTGCTTGTATATATCATCGTATATATGCATCAAATATATTCATGAGATGGTCTTTAAATTCAAGTAGGATATATTCAAGGTCACAGTTGTTTTCATTTTCTTCAGCTTCAGCCTGAGGTTACATATGAGTAATTGATGATTTGTTCCCTTGACCTTGTTTTGACTGATGATATTGAGCTTCTCCTATCATTTCTTCTCACAGATGTAGTCAGTTTGATCCCTGTGTATTCCATCTGGTGAAGTCCATGTGTATCATCGATTTTTATGTTGTTGAAAAGATGATTTGCAATGAATAAGTCATTGGGCTTACAAAATTCTATCATGCAAAATCTAGCATCATTTCTATCACCAACGCCGTATTTTCCAACTACAGATCCTTCCATTTTGTTTTTGACCATTACATTCCAATCACCACTGATTATCAGTACACATTGATTACATGTTTGGTCATTTTCAAACTAAAGAAGTTGGTAGAATTTTTCAATTTCATCATCACTGGCTATAGTGGTTGGTGTGTAAATTTGAATAATAGTGGTACTTACTAGTTGGTCGTCTTGTAGGCATATGGACCTTATCCTATCACAAAAAGAATTGTACTTCAAGATCGAATTTGAAATGTTCTTCTTGATGATAAATGTAACACCCTTCCTCTTCTATTTGTGGTTCCCTGCATAATAAACTATTATTGTCTGATTCAAAATGGCCAGTAGCATTCTACTTCAGTTCATTAACGCTAGGATATAGATCTTTATGAGTTCCATTTCATTTTTGACAACTTCTGATTTTTCTAGATTCATGCTTCATACATTTCAGGTTCTGATTATTAATGGATGTTTGCACTATTTCTTCTCAATTTGAATTGTGCCCCACCCAATACCCAAAAATTTTGCTCCATTCACATCATTATGGTTAACTGTACTTTAAAAAGGTAGTTTTTCCACAGTCATATGTTAAGTGCCTTCCAACCTGAAGTGCTCATAATTGGCACTGTATCTGACAGTATTCTGCTCATTCTCGTAAGGTTTTCAGGAGTTTTCTGCATGTCCTTCCTAGTCTCTTAGTTTGGAAACTCAGCAGAAACTTGTCCACCCATGGGTACACTTGTTGGTATTTCAAATACCATGGCATAGCTATACCAGCATCATAGCAACACCCAAGCCAGCACAGTAAATACAAACTGACAGACAAGTTGTTGTTACTAGGTGCCATCAAATCAGTTCTGACTCATAGAAACTCTATGCACAACAGAACAAAATACTGCCTGATCCTGTGCCATCCTCACAGTTGTTGTTACACTTGAGCCAATTGCAGTTGCCACTGTGCCAGTCCATATAATTGGGGTCTTACTCATTTTCACTGACCCTCCACTCCACCGTGCATGATGTCCTTCTCTAGGGACTGGTCCCTCCTGATAGATAATATGTCTGAAGTATAAGAGACAAATGCAGTACATTGTTCAATATCTTGACTGCTGTTCCATGAGTGACAGACAAGTAGAGGAAGCTGATTATAAGTGTTAATATATATATTATAATTATTGCATTTAAAATTTTTCAGAAACCTTATAATATTAAAATAATGCCACTTTTATTTGAAGGAAAGGAAGAAGCCAGAAATTGTAGGCATGAATCTGGGACTCCCAAGGTCATTGATACTAGATGGTGGGACCGTCAAGAATAACTGTTTTCAAACTTAGAAAGAATATTGTAGAATCCCTGACCAGGGGCATATGCATCCAGAAATCTGGGTCCCTCACCTTTTATTTTCTGTCAGTTTAATGTTTATCTGCTTCATTATTTGGGTTTCCAAAAAAGATTCAGTAAGATTTTTTTTTTTTTTTTTTTTTTGGCAAACAATTCCTTGAGAACCATTGATTATACCATATGACAGATTGTACCATAGGACAGAAAAGATCCAAAAAGGATACATAATTTGCCCAACTTATAGTGTGAGAAGGATAAAACTCAGAATAGATCCTAAAGAATCTGATAATGACTTGTTAATTGTTGCCGAGTCACTTCTAACTTATTTAAGGTATGTAAAGAAGCTATTTAAATAATGGATAACTTGTGTTTTAGTGTAAAAATGGATTAAATCACATTTCTGTAATATATACCATTTGTTATTATTTTGCCCTCTAGTTGATTCCAACTCACAGTAATCCTATATTAGATTTCTAAGAGCAGCTGGTGGGATTGAACTGCCAGTCTTGCAATTAGCAGTCCAGTGCTTATCCTACAGTAAAAAAAAAAAAAAAAACCCCTTTTATAGAGTTTTCAAGGAGCAGCTGGTAGGTTAGAACCAACAGCCTTGGTAGTTCAAACTGACCTTGTAGTCCAGTGCTTACCATATAGCGCCACACCAGAAAACAAGTGGTTTTCCCTTTTTTTTTCCCTTATCATTTTTCCTTTATTGGATAATTAGAAGCATTTATAGGAAAGGAGTCACAGGGTGGAACAGATGGTTTAGTGGTTCGCTACTAACATATGGCAGTTTGAACCTATCGAGAGGTGAGGTCTCATCATCTGTTTACAAAAGGTCACAAATTTGAAAGCCTAATGAACAGTTGTATCCTGGTTCACCATGAGTCTGATAACTGTAAAACTGACATTCAAATCAGTATATCAGAAGTTTCTTACAGTTCTGAAGCTATAATACTAGGTTGCATCATGAAATTGCTCGTGCCAATTTTAATATATAAACCAACAATTTTGTGGCGTTTTAACATGTTTAAGGAGGCAGTCCTGGTAGGGCAGTGCTTCAGCTCTGGACTGCTAACCAAAAGGTCAGCATTTTGAACAAAGCCTTTTTCCTGTTAAATCCCTTCAGCAAAATTGTCATATTTGCGAGTCTGTAATTTGCTTTTTGCTTTACTTTTGTAAAATATTTTCTAAAATACTACTTTTAATTTATTAGATGAAAAGTACAGGTTAAACTGTTTTGCACACAAAATATACTTGTTGATCTAAGTGCCATCGAGTCTTTTCCAGCCTTGTATAGGGTTTCCAAGGAGCTGCCTAATGGGTTTTAGCCACCGACTTTGCAGTGCTTATTCTACAGTGTTACACCAGGACTCAACAAAACCGTTAGAGCCTAACAAACAATACAGTCTTCAGCAAAACCTTTCTGAACATATGATTTGGGTTTCTAAGACTTAAAGGAACAGACCACCTTATTTTTTTTCCCGCTGAGCAGCTTTTGGGTTTGAACTGCCAACCTTATGTTCTCTGTCCAGTGCTTATCCTACAGCACCACCAGGGTTCTTAATGATTATGGATATTATCCACATAATGTTGAGAAATTAGAACTGGAGGCTACTAGTATTCATCCCCAAAAATAGTTTAGAGAGTAAAATTTAATCTTTTTTTTTTTTTCTCCTAGTCCTCAAACCCTGTTGGCTGGCATGAATAAATTTTTGTCCCAGCTTGAAATTACATTCAGAAGAGATCCAAACAACTATAGGCCAAGAATAAACAAACTCAATTCAATTAAGGTATGTACAAAAGCTATTTAAATCATGGATAACTTGTGTCTTGGTGTAAAAATGGATGAAAGCACGTTTCTGTGATAATATACATTTGTTATTATGGGCCCTCTAGCTGATTCCAACTCATAGTGATCCTGTATTGGATTTCCAAGAGCAGCTGGTGGGATTGATCTGCCAGTCTTGCAGTTAGCAGTCCAGTGCTTATCCTACACTATATTTCATTCTAAGATCCAGATTTCTTTGATATTGTATATCTGATGACATATTTTAGTCACTGAGGCAGCAGTTGTGATGAAGTTGGCATACTGTGTGGATGGTTACAGCCCTTCATGTCTGAGTTGTAGCCACTGTCAGTACTGCATATGTTGTGTTTAGTTGCCATTTAAAATATCTTCAGAAAGGTTACACTAGTTTACCATTGAAATGAAATTTGTAACAATACCTTAACGAGTTTATTTTTTATTTTACTCTTTGTACAGTGCAGAAGCGTTACAATTCAAGGTTTAACCAAGCTGTTCCAATGAGATTATAAAATTATAAGTAATGAGAACATCAGTCAAATTAAGGACTTTTTCTTTGTGGACATAAAATTATTGTAAAAGTTTGTGGAGAAATGGAATTAAAACAAAAGAAATTTCCTACAAACTTTTGGAAGCCTTCTGTGACTTAAAGTACTCTGGTGGTACAGTGGCGAAGAACTCAGCTGGCTAACCAAATGACAGGTTCTGCTGTTTGATCACAATGGAGAAAGACTGCAGTTTAGGAAACCCTATGAGGCAGTTCTATGTTTTATGGGGTCACCAAGCGTCTGTACTAACTTGATAGCAATAGGCTTTATGGATATATTTGTAGTAATCTATGAAAGTACTTAGCTTTGAGAAACCCAAAATCTCTTGGTCACTCAAAGAACACTAGATAAAGTGAATGAACTTTTCTAAAATCATGTTGTTTTTGTATCCTCTACATGCCTACTTAAAAATGTCTACACTTGATGGCCCACTGTTTTCTTCTTCAATACTTAGAAGGTCTAGAAGTACATTGTGCCTACTTCTACTGTAATACTATAGCTATTATTTATTGTTAAGTGCAGTCCATTTGGTTCCAACTCATAGTGACCCTCTATGGAGTTTCAGAGGCTATAAATCTGTGGAGCAGAAAGCCTCACCTTTCTCCCATGGAATAATCACTGGGGCTCAAATCACCGAACTTGTGAATCGCAGTCCAGAGATTATCCTATAGCACCACCGTGCTCCCATTTTCTTATTTGTACTCCAAGGTTTACTACTAAATGTGATCTCCCAAAGCAGAGACGAAATCGCTGTACTTACCATTGTATCCTTAAGCACTTTAACTTTATGTATGGATGCCTTGGGCCTTCTCTTTTTATTGTGTTTGTAAGGGTTGACAATATCCCTGGTTTGGCTAAAGAAATAACAAGTTCTGTATTAAAGTCCAAGAATCAACTCAGTTCTGAAAAAACATTAAGCATATGATAAGAGAAACTTCTTGAGTTCTTCTGTATAGTTTGATTTTCCCAAGAATTTCGTGCATTACAAACATTTTCTATAGTCATTTTCATGGTCCTTAGTATACCCACTCATCTTATATATCATACCTTAATAAACTCTTAATAAGTTCTAATAAGTGAGCAGCTGAGCAAGTGGATAGGTGGATTATTATTGACCAATCTATAAACAGTATTTGTTGTGTGCCATCGAGTTAGTACCAACTCATAATGTGTAGGGTTTCCGAGGAGCGGCTGGTGAGCTTGCACCACCAACCTTGCGGTTCAAAAAGCGACCTTGTAGTCCAGCACATTAACCCACAGCACCACACCAGGACTCCTAAACAGCACTGGGAGATGCTATTTTAATAAACATTTTGTGTAGTAGATAATTTTCAAACCTTTTGAACCAAGTGCTGGAAATTGAAAACAGAACTTATCTAGCCACATATTTGTGTTTCTGTGTGTATGTAGAAGACTGAGTTTTAGTAAAAGTATTGCTGATCTGCCCTGAGGATGGGGTTCAAAAATATCCACTAGCAGATGATGCAGAGGAGTTGTACACATCTCTAAGTAATATCTTGGATGAAAGTCTACCCCCTTAAATAAAAGATGTTACTGATTTTCTCTCTTTTTCTTTTTCAGGATGTAGAACAGAAGAAGAGTGGAAACTACTTTTTCTTGGATGATTAGATTAAATCGGAGCATTGACTAATCACTTATTAAAAGAAACTTTGGAATTTTTATTGTATAAAACTTTAATCAGGTCTTTATGCCCCACACACTCTGGAACTTGAAGTATAGTGTACTTAATTTAACATCAAAATCCAGTTTTGTCATGAATTGTAGTCTGAACAATTTTTCAAGAACAGAAAGTACCACCTGTTGCTGTTCTTGATAACAAGACCCTTTTTGTGTATAACGTTCTTATATGAAGATTTCAAGTAATACAATTACCTCCAAGTTTTGAGAATGTAGGGGAAGATTTTTAATACTTGTATTATATATATTCATGTTCCAAATGCTGACCAGTATTTCCCCATTCTAAAGATCTTTGAGAACGCTTTCTGTACTTAAATGACTTGCCAAGTGTACCAATGTAATGAAGCTTCCCATATTTGAAAAGCAGGTTGAAGACACCACTGATGGAATTTGATAAATAAACGTCTATCGGTATTATAGTTTGTTATTTATTTTAGTGTTTGTACTGTATTGTTAAAATATAGTACAGAGTTTTCCCTTAAAAGATTATCTGCTACAAAACGTGATGGGAAATGGGTATTTGATAGTAACTTAAGTAAGCTTTGTTTTTTAATATTTGCTGCTGCCTTTGACCATATTTATCCAAATTCATTTTAACATGTCCCTTGCCCTCATAAAACCCTCACAGTTTTACTCTTTGGATTACAGAGTTCTACCATTCTATATTAGAAGTGACTGTGCCTAAGAGTAATAATAATTTTTAGACATACATTTATGTAATCACTAATCACAGTTTAAGAACAGACATTTCTAAAGATCATTTGCTTTCCTTAAAACAGTGGTCCTCAATAATACAAATCCGAGAGCCCCACCCTAGATCTACAGGAAGCCCTAGTGGAAATGGCTAAAGGTTGGTGGTAAGAACCCACCTGTGAGTGGCTTTGCAGAATAAAAGATTCAGAGGTCTGCTCCCATAAAGATTACAACCTAGGAAACCCTCTGGGGCAAATCTACTCTGTCATATATCAAACACTGTGAGTTGAAATCAATTTGATGGTATACAACAGCCACCTTAGATCTACAAGCTAAAATCTTTTAGAGTTGATGCTTAAACACTGGGGTATTTTTTAACTTCCATAGATTTTTCTGATGGACAGCCAAGGGTTGTGAATCACTTCCCTAAAAAGAACTTTAATACAAGAGTCACTAGAAAACAATATAAAGTATCCCTTGATACCAAATACATTCATTCTGAGGTTGGATATTGTTGTTATGTGCCATTGGAGTCAGTTCCGACTCATAGCTACCCAGTAAAGGGTTTCCGAGGCTGTAGATCGTTACGGGAGCAGAAAGCCTCATCTTTCTCCTGCAGAACTGCTGGTAGTTTCAAACTGCTAACGGTGAGATTAACAGCCCGATTCATAACCCCTTTGCTACCAGAGCTTCTATCAAATCAGTTCTGACTCATATATAGGGTTTCCAAGGAGTGGTTGGTGAGTTTGAACTGCCAACCTTAAGTTAGCAGTCCAGTGCTTATCCTAGAATGCACGCCTGGACTCCGAATTTGGATATAGAAGATTAATTTTCTAAAAAAAAAATTTTTTTTTTTTTTTTTTTTTTTTTCATTTTGGATGGTATGTAGCAGGAGTTCATCTAAAAACTTCCCTAAATCAGTTTAGTCCCTAAGTTCAAATACCAGAATACCTGTAAAGTGAAACCATTTAAAATTTTACTTCTAATGCACTGTAATGGAGACCTGCTGTGGTGCTGCAGGTTAATGCGCTGAACTGCAAGGTCGGTTTGAATGCAGTTCAAGCTCACTAACCGCTCCTTGGAAACCCTCTACAGGGTCGCTGTGAGTTGGAACCAACTTGATGGTACTTAATAACAACAATGTACTACGCTGGAATTAACCAATAGGCATGAAGAAAAGGATTTATTAAGTAAAATTAACAGGGCAAGCAAAATAAAGAGGAAAATTAGAATTTATTTTAGATCTTTAGAGCTCTTGAAGCATTAGAAACCTTAATTAAATACAAATAGTGGATAAAAAGTATAGTTTTAATTGGATCCTATTAAGATTTTTTGAAATAATTTCTTTGATCTATAAATATGTGTTGTGGAAAATTCAAGTACAGAAGTGTATGGGATAAAAAGTTACCATCTCCCTTCGCATTGTCCTCCCAAAGGTTATACTAGCGTTTAATATATATCCTTTTATGCTTTTTTTTCTCTGTACTTAACATAGTTGTGAATATGTAAAGGGTTTGTTTGTTTTGTACATAAATGAGATTCTACAAACTTAGTGCGTATTTCTAAGGATAGGTTAAATATGTGAATGATTATTTCAAATACATTGAATAAAATAAGATAAAAGCTATTTTTATGTACCGATTTTGTATTCTGTCTTTAAGAAAATGCTTCTTACAGAGCACAGTTCTTTCTATGCTATTCTTGTAAGAGAATATACGGTAGTAATTTTCATGTAACTGAAAACGCTACTTAAAATTTTAGTAATAGAGACATCTAACATTCCTTGCATGAAAAACATTTATCTAGAAAATTAGTGTTACCAAAAGTATAGTTGATATAGAAGTATCACTATAAGAATATATAAAGGATTAAAATACCCAAAGGATACTCAAGATACTTAGCAATGCTTTGGGGAAGGATTAAAACTTAGTGATATAAGAACAGGAAAGGGAAGAAGATATGTATACTCACTTACATAGTAACTTGAATTTTATATTGTGCATATATCAACTTTTAAAATATGTTTAAATCATAAAAAGACCATTATTGTGTTCCACTAATGAAGTCAACTCTGTAACATGCTACAACTGTTATGAGGGTAAGTAAAAGTGTTGCTAGTAGGGTTACAATATATACATGCCTGGGTTTATTCAAAACAAAACCTGTTTCAATGGCCACAAACAAGTTCTCAGTAATACACTTGTCTTAGTTTTGTGTTAGGTGGCCTTCAAAAATATAATTTTTGTGCCATGGAGAAAAACTATTTTGTAATCTTTTGTGAATTGAGTGAAGGTTTACAGATAAGATCAATTTTACACTCAACAAATCCCTTCATGCAACAGCAGCTATTCCACTTCTTCCCTGTGGTTCCTATCTCCATTCAACCCTCTTTCCCATCCCTTTTCAACTTTGTCCTTAGGTAAATGTTACCCTTTTGATCTTACATGATTGACCATTCCCCCTCAGCTCCACATATCCCTCTCTACTGGTTGGTTAAAAATTGGGCCACAAGGGGGAGTTCCTTTCTAAACCTGAAGGGTAATCATGGACCGTACTCTCAGGTTCCTCCAGTCTTCTGCCTAGGAAGCCTGGTCTTTCATAATTTTGAGGGTTTTTTCCACATTTTCTCTGACTCCAGTACCTTCTAATGTGATCCTTTTCAGAGCAGTTGATAGTGGTAGCTAGGCACCTTGTGGTTCTGGGTTCAGAGTCATGGAGACTGATGTTCACCACCATTGATCTAGTTGATGTCAAGCATCTTCAATTTTCATCACTTCTACACATAGACTAATAGTGCACCTTAGATGGTCGGTCATGCACTTTTAGGATCCCAGTTGCTACTACTCACTGAAGTAGGATGTAGAGCACACAGTCTTTGTGGCCTATGTTATGCCAGTAGACTATTGTGCCCCCAGAGACTGGTCTTGAGCCCCCAGACATCAATGCTTTATGATGTCTGATATTATCTAAGAAGTAGGACAATTTTGAGTTCAGAGCTAATACCAGGTTTTTTAAAAACTTCGGTGTACCTCTTCCAAAAACATTGAAACTTTGCAACAAGTTTATGGGAATGCTGCTCCACATGAAATAACAGTCATTCAATGGTCAAGTCAAGTGTTTTAAGGAAGGTTAGGAATAGCTCAAAGATAATCAAAAGAAGGAAGACCATCAAAACAAATGAAGTAACATTTTCTATGGTGAAGAGAGACCATAGAACTACCATTGATGAGATAAATTAAGAAATTGGGTTTTCACATGGTTCAGCATTTTCAATGTTAAACGTCAGCCTCAGCAAACTTCTAGCTGCATGAGTATCAAAACGTGCAAAGATTAACTCTCAAAGACCTGTTTCTGTCAGTCTTAAAGCTAATGACAATTTTATGGAATGAATCCTAACTGAAGGCAAGTCTGGTTTACCAATGTGATCCAGAGAAAGGTCCTATCAAACGAGTGCTTCCAAAAGGATCTGGTAGACCCAATTAAATTCAAAGCAGAGAGGACAGTTTACAAGGCTATGGGGATGTTTTTGGAATTCTAAAGAGATAATCTTGACTGAGGGTGATCAAGAGGCATATGAAGTTTTAAGAAAAATGAAAATATTGGTGAGAAAACAGTCAAAAAAGTTGCACTGAGGATTTTTTTCCACCACTGCAATGCACCTTCCCATTTGTCCAGGATAGCAAGGGCTGTCCTATAAGTATTTCCTTGGGAAATCCTTACTCCATCCACCCCACAGCTCTGATCTTGCCCTTTCAGCCTTCTTACACATTGAAAAGGAACACAATTTTGTGTCCCTTGAAAATACCCAACTGTCATTTTCACATTTTCACAAAGACCACAATTATTTGTGGAAGGGGTATTTGTTGGTAGATTCCAACTCATGTTGACCCCATGCACAACAGAACAAAACAGTCTGGTCTTGTGCCATACCTGTTTGAGCCCATTGTTGCTGCCACTGTATCAGTCCAGCTCATTGAGGGTCTTCCTTCTTTGTCACAGACCCTTAACTTTTCCAAGCATAATGTTCTTCCCCAGAGAATGGTCCTTATAACAGGCATATCCAAGTATGAGAGACAAAGGCTCACCATCCTGGCTCCGATGACGCTCTAGCCCAGGGGTGGGGAACCTTTTTTATGCCAAGGGCCATTTGACTATAGCATCATTTGTGGATCATACAAAATTATCAACTTAAAAATTAGCTTGTTATATTTGGTCAATCAATTAACTAACCCCTAATG